CGGAGTCGCAAAAACACGAACCACATTAGGGGAGGCAGATTTATGAAAAAGTCAGCTCTCTAACGGTTTCAACTTTCGCGCTCTTGTAACTTTCAGATATTAATGAAACAAAGTTTGACGAAAACATTCTAAATGCTAAACACTGCGAATGCAGAAGCGTTTACAGTCTTGGGTATCTTGCTTCGTCTATTGTAAATAATATTCCGTTTGTGACACTTTTTCTGTCGTATGGCTGAGGGAGATGACTAGCAACCTTATAGTTCGATGTCAAGATTTCTGAGCCAGAATGGCCGCCGAGGTAGCATTTGGGACATCAGTTATGCTGCCGTCGAACTTTCGCAGCGAGCATTCGGAAATAATGTGCTGCGTGGCTGGACATTATCTTCCAGCGATGGAGAAGGATTCCACAGCGCCCTTGTGACACTGAGAATGATACGCGACATCGTCCGAATATGTGGGAAATCTTGAAATGCTCTGAGATATCTGAACACATCGTTCCCACATTGGGACAGATGTATGGAGGAATCATGTCTGCTCCCAAAGTCGAAAGAGTGCTAACTCCGTGGTTGGCCATTAACTGTAGAGTTGGCTAAGAAGATGTGTCAGAAGATGCTATCTAGCAATGTTGTTATCCTTCTTTTCTGATTCTGATTGCGACACAGCTGATCTTGGCAAATACAAAAGTGTCATTCTAGAGAAAAGTGCACGTCAAGACATCTGGCTAGATGCCTTACTGACCTGAAGTACAGAGGTGAATTGTACTGGAGAGTAGTACGAGGAATAGCTTTGTCACCTGACGGCTTCCATAGGCCGCGCAGCTGCGAAGGCGGGCTCTTTCTTAACACTCGGAAGTTTAACGTAATGAGGAACATATGTAGCTCAATTGATCTTTAAGCCGAAGAGTCAGGTAAAGAGCTTCAGTAGGTTGACCAATTAAAGCATTTCGACTCTATCATCTCCATCGATGGCATCACCTAGCCAAAGTTAAGTAGAATGATCGCATCAGCCTCGAGTGCTATTGCAAATCTGCCGAATATTTGGGCTGAGAAAGGAGCAACCCTTTCCACAAAAATCCGTATGCATCTTGCCATCGTCAGATCAACTGCTGTTGTACAGCTTGGAGATGGTTGGAACGAATGAGCAAAAGCGATGATTGAACTGCTACACCACCATTGGTTTCGACGCATAACTGGGATCAAATGGCAAGACCACGCAAGAATGATTGTATTCGCTTAAGGGCACATATGACCTCAGTAGATGCGAAGTTTAGGAGAAGGAAGTTGGCCTGCTAGGCAAAGTGGTTAAGCCTGACTCATTTACTCCAGTCCATGAACTTATCGTGTGGGAGCCAAAACACTGCAGACATCGACCAGGAAGCCAAGATGCAATGTAAAGAACGGAGAAAAAGGCAGGTTTGTTTTCGCCAAAAAATAGTTTTTTCTATAGCGAAGTACCCGGTGGCTAATAGCAGAAGTGTTGAAGAGCTGCGAATGCAGCGGACATCAAAAACCGGAGATGTACTGCTTATGTAAACAACTCAAAATGATGATCTCAGCAAAACAGGCACACGAAGGGTGCTAAATAACTAAAGCAGATGGTTTCATGTTGAGGCAAAGCACGACAGTTCGCCAAGATAACCAAACCGCAAAGGGGTCACAAAACAGACAATTTAATGAGGCGATTTCTCCACACCTTCTTCAGTGATCAGTGCGAACTGTGGTCCAGTAGTCGTTCCTTGCGTTACTTAGGCAGAGCCTATTTTTGTAGACTAATTTACTTTAAAACATGAAAGGCCACCAACACTGGCTCAAGATTCACAACAGATTTTATGGCTGTCATGATGACTGTAGAGAGCACGCTGCACACTGCTTCGTTTTGGCACGTGATATTGTCCCTTTTGCTTTCTCTCCTCCTCTGCTGCATGAACATTTGGGCTGGGCTCATGACGAGAAGCCGTTACGATAGATGTTCA